TGACTCGGAGAAAAAAGTCTGCGGACAGACTAATTTGACACATTAACTTAAATTCGGAACGGGCAATCGCAAAAAAAGTCCAAATTTTGGCATGCACCAAATCAAAATATTCTACATTTTTGTACTTAATCTTTAGGAAATCCATCAGTTTGGTAAAAAAAAAAGCCTTTTTCAGCAAAACTAAGGCCCATTTAGCGTCGTGGCGGCCAAAAAACTGATTTAACGGTTAAAAGCGGCATTTTTTTTTTATGAAAATTAGGTCGTGAAAGGATTAAGGGGTGTCCCCAGTTAGCAGTAATGCTAAATCTCATTGACACTAAATGAAGTTATTATTATTATCACATGCGTACAAGATACATGAGGAATTATACCTATACCATGCAAGTGAAAGCTTTCCTCATGGGATGACTGACATTTCAGGCTAAGATAGATCAAATACAACACAATTTGTCAGTACCAGATGAAAGTACTGCTTAATCGAGCTTTCGTTTGAATTGGTTCACATTATAAGACTATCATCCATTTTTGTGAAATCTGTTGCGGGGATAAAATTTTGTCCCTAAGACATATTTTGCGTGAAATTCAACTGGTTTGAATTCGTGCGTAATAAATCAGGGACAAAATCACATTAATTTTCAATGTCACATCGCGTACACTGCTCTTGCAAACTTTCCCCGCTACAACATAGAAATTACCTGATATCCGCTTCGTAAGCACAGAATGCGAACTGTCCTCTCAAAATACGTTCTATGCGTACACACGAAGGGGCTTATCCCTTCGTGAAGCGTCAGCAACAGGTCCACCAGTGTTTACCGACCTTTGCTGATCGCTGAGACAGTTTCAAATCATGACGATTTTAAAAGCACAATGAAAAAAGCCTTTTTACCTGAAACCAGATGTACATAGCAGGCGGTTTCACTGCAAGCAGACAGCTTACACATCAAGAAGATTAAGGTCAGTGAAAGTGAAAAAAAATAAAGATGATTTATAATTGAAGACTAGAATTTGTAAGCAACATACTTTAGGACTCCTGAATCTGGCAAGTCAGGGTAACGGTCTGGACCAACGCAGTGCAGTAAGCGTCCTATGTGGAACTCCACCCCCACTTGATTTCATTTTAATTTAGCTTTTCAAACAAAAGTTTAACAACCAGAGAACTGAGAAAGGAGAACGAGGATAGTGTTCTCAGCATCTGTAAGTCAAATTTAACATCAGGTGGCTCTTCAACATGGTGCCATTCATCTTATACTATAGTTTTTGTGTTTCAGGCATTTCGATTCAGCCATTGTCACCAACTCAGTTCCATACGTGACTCAAATTCTGATAGCATTTCGTGTAGTGTTTTTCGTAAAACTTGAACACCTCGTGTTAATCGGCAATGGTTTTAATCAACACTCCATTAATCGCTCAAGAATAAAAGATTTTTACCACCTAACATTCCGTGGTTGAATTAACTGCGAAACAGCAATGTGTACCGCTTATAAGGTTAACCACTTGTTCCGCAAATGTGTTGTTTAATTTCCCAAGGTCTACCCGCAATGACGTCATGAAGGCAACTTCTGCTCGTGTTGTAGAGTCATTTCTCAATTTTATTTTATGTTTATATCTCCTCTGAATTGTTGCAAAAGAAACTTATATTTAAAGAAAACCAAGATTTATGTACAATCTGGATTAAAATTGTCGACACCGTTCAACTTGAACCGTGTACAAGAAATTGATAAAGTCATTGTGTAAATAGAAGCAAACTTCCATCAGCGTCACTGTTGAGTCTAGGAGCAAGTCAGGGGATCGATGACTATTTCATGGTTAGGGCCAAGCCCTAATGCTCTATTGATTCCAGTGCCGTAAAGTATTTTCACAAGCTGGTGCATTTTCTTTTTTGCCTATGTTTACAATGTTTACATTTGAGAGAGTGGAAGAAAACTAAAAACTGAAAACTGAAAATGTAGAGCCCATGTTTCTGGCAAGTTTACACGTACAATATCCGCTTAATGTTACCGAATGCTAAAACCGTTTTCTTTGGGCGCACTTATGCATTTTTACAATTTTACGCAGTTTCCCTGTTACCTAAGAAGTTATCGTTTGGTTCGTGACTGAAAGAGATATAAATCTTGGCGTGATTAGTTGAGGCCAACCAACATCACAAGTCATTGACACATTGACACGGATCTCACTCTTCGGATCTCGCGCGCAGGGAGCTAAGTTCAATACAAAGCCTTCAAAAATCACAGCCTTGATAATTTGGTAAGTAAATTATCAATAATCGTTTCATTGCCACCAGCTAAGAGAGCCTGCTTCTTCCTCTTGTAAGACAACTTTAATAAATCTAAAATCACAAAATCTAAATAATAAATAAATTAATAAATCTAAAATCACAAAATCAGTCCTCGCCTCCAGGATTTCGCGCGGCCATTTTTCTCTCGCGCTTTTCTTTCGCGTCACGCACGACGGACTAAGCGAAAGAGGGACTACTCGTAGTCTAATGCTTTGGCAGTTAAGTCTATGATCGGTAAACTCTCTTTAAAGTTTGACCAAGAGAGATTTTAGTTTATCCTGATCTAACAGAGTTAAAACCTTACTTTTTCATTATCCTTGAACAGGTGGAGTCGATGGTATGATGTTTAACGACATGGAGAGTGGGCTGGGTTGTACACTGAGGGGTGGGTGGGGGNGGGGGGGGGTGCGTTCTCTTCTTAAAAAGGACATGACGCTCAAAACATTAACTTCCCAAACGAACTACGGCGATTAATTTACTTCATTAGCATTTATTTAATTAACTTTAATCAACAAAGAAAACCGCCCGATCATAACTTATTACAGCACAATCACTGCACATCATGATATGCAA